CAGTTAGAGGAAATTAATACCAACAACGGAGGGTGTCAGGAAGCAGCCAGGCAGCTAATCAAGCGGAAAATTGGACAAGGAGCCGGGCTGAGAGGGGAGCCGCGGGGCGGTTCCGTAGGCCGCCGACGGGGCGGGGGCGCTGGATTTCCCCCCCCCCACCCGCGGCACTGCTGCTCGAGCGGCTGCCGCATGGCTGGCCGGACGCCCCTCTGGGCCTGAGCGGGGGCAGCGCCTCAGCCCGCGAGGCGGGCGGTTCCCCGACGTTCAAGGCAGTGCTGGCCCCGCCCTGCCCAGGGCTCTTACGGAGAGCGCCTTTGCAGGGCTCCGGCTCACGGCCGTCGGGGGAAGCGGCGGCGCTACGCTGAGCGGAGCAACAGAGCGCGAGGCACCGCGGGAGTATCTCGCTCGCCCGCCCGCCCCGGACAGAGGCCTCCGATCCGCCAGCTCGCCTTCCGGGCTGCCAGTCAGCTTTGTGCCCTGGGGGCGTCAACGTCCTTGGGCCGCTTCCCTCCCAGGAGGCCCAGCAACGGCTAGAGCAGGGGTTCTCAACCTTGGCCACTTTAAGACTTGTGGACTTCAATTCCCAGAATTCCTCAGCCAGCAAAGCTGGCTGAGGAATTCTGGGAGTTGAAGTCCACAAGTCTTAAAGTGGCCAAGGTTGAGAACCCCTGGGCTAGAGGTTGGCCTTTCTCTTAGTCGGACAACTCCCAGGTGTTCCCGCCGCGTCCTCCCGCGGCCCACCCCGTGCTCAGGGCCCCGGCAGCCTCAGAGCGGCCAGAGAAGAGGAGGGCATGGGGGGGCCGTCCGGCTCGCTCCCCTGCTCGCCCCTCCTGGTCAAGAAAGGCTGGGGGTGGCGCAGGGCTCCCCTTGGAAGGAACCTTCGCAAAGGCTTCTCTCCTTCCTCCCAAGGCCCTCGGCCGCACGCTCGCCAGGGAGCCCCTTCCCACTAACGGTGGGTCCTGGCAGCAGCTATAACTCTGTTATAGTTACTTGCATGTGCTTATTGTATTCAGTTCATGATTTTTCCAATTCATTCCTTTTTTAAAACAAGTTATTAAAGTTTTTTCATAGGTAAAAGCAACTCTCATAAACAGAACAGAGCAGGAAAAAAGAAAACTGACAGTGCCAGAAAAATGAAAAAGAGAGGTGACTAAAAAAAAAAAACCAAAACCTGAAGTAGACAACCTTTGACATTCTTTTCAACAAATATTAACAAAGCCATCATCTCCCCTTCCTCTTAACTGTCCCCAAAACCCCTTCACGCATCATGCAAAGTGTGGCTGCCTTCCTGGGGACCCTGTCTGGGGACTGGAGCCCTCTTGTTTTCATAGGGCTTTTCTCATATTTCGGAGGCCCTTCTCAGGGACATTCTGGCCCCTGGGAGCCTTGCTGTGCAGAAGTCTCAGCAGCCCTTAATGCCAGGTTAGGTCCCGTCCAGCTAGCAACCTGGAGAAGGGGCTCCTTTTAGCACCCAGTCCCCAGGCCGATTGCGTCCGTCAGGACACACCCGGTCCCAGTGCTCTTCAACATCTGTATCAACTGGCTGGCCGAGGTTTCCAGAGTTTTGGAATGGTGCTCCCGTCCAAAGCCAGTGGAAGAGTTAATTCCTTTGAATGCTGTGAAATTCCATTGTGGAGGTGGAGAAACAGGTGGTATTAATTTCAGAGGCAGATAAAGGTGGTCCTGGCAGGGCAGACTCCTTCTTGAAGGAAGGCCCGGGATTTGGACATATCATTCTCCCTAGCCACTCAGATCAGCGGCTGAGGAAAGGACTGTTTTCACCCAGCTGCAGCCCTTCCTAAGTCCATTTGGTCATCGTGCCCTCCTAGTATCCAGTTGATATTGCCAACCAGAAGTGGCGACTCATGCGAAATGCTACCTGGCTAACACTGCATAGACAAGGATTGTACAAGATCTGCTTTAGAAGTGCTGCACGATTGTCAGTTGCTTATTGGGCGCCAGGGAAGGGGTGGGCAATGTAAAGTCCCTCCTTCCGTGACTTAGGACCTCACTGTCTGAAGGATCCAGGTTGAGACGAGCCCCCCCCCCCAAGGATGTCCAGGCTGTCCAAGACCTGTTTCCTGACCTGGTGAGGTGTCCAGGTTAGGGAACACCCTCACTGAGGCGTTATGCTGTGCCCCCGGAGAATTTGTGAAAATCCCTCTCCTTCTCATTGCAGGAGCCCATTCTAGTCTTCATCTTTGTTTAAGCTTTTAGCTTTTTCTCTCCTGCTTTTGCTTTGTACCTTCCTTAACCAACTAACGACCTGGCAGAGGAGAATCAATAATAGTTTAGCTAGCACATTTGGCTCTTTGTTAGAGAACAGAATAAAGAAATAATGGGATGTGGCCAGCCTGTTGCCAGGTGCTTCAGCCAGTGGGAAAGGGGGGATCCAGAGGGTCCCTAAGCTGGCCAAAGACCCACTGCTCTTGCGCCATTCCACATTCCAGCAGTTCCACAAGAAGGCTGCACACACACACACACACACACACACACACACACACACACACACAGAGCCTGCCTTTTGAATCCTTGACTCAGACACGCTGCCCCCTTAGCAGAGGCATTACTGTCCAATGAACATCACTGACCTGCAGCGAGACCGTGAGGGGGAACATTTCGTTTCTGCCGAGGGCGAGGCCACTGTGGGACAAAGAGGCGCCTAAGGGCTCCCCCCCTCCCCACATGCCCTGCTGAGCTCCTGTGGTCTTTGGCAGGTGGCCTCTCCCCGCTGCTCTGCCCCCCCTCCATCTTCTTCTGGGACGGTCATAACCGCCCGAGGGCCTCGACCCAGCCGCTGATCCTGCTCCAGGAGGCCCCCCCCCCGCAGCCGGAAAAAGCCTCCTGGCCGGAGGACCCGGGGCTCGTGATGCGCTGTCCCCGGGAAGCCTGAAGGTTGCGGAAGGGCCAGGCAGCCGCCTCGAAGAAGAGACCAGCCCTGGCCCCCTTTGGGACTGGCTAGTGCAGCTTCTCCCCCAGCAGTTCCGGGAAGAGAAACCGGGCAGCTTCCCTTGGCCCCGTCATTTCAGAATATTCAGCTTTGCTGTTTCCGTGTTTTCGTGATCCAGACAGAGCAAACTAGGACCTTGTCTGCCTGCTTGCCTTGCAACCCCCCCCCCTGCGAGGGTGGAGTGTCTGGGCAGGCGAAACGAACCGTTGGCCCGGCCCCTCCGGATGAAGAGAAGCGCCCCCTTCCCCCCCCCCGTTTCTCCTGCCTCGCTTTGTTCCCCCGCGGTCTTCCTTCTCCCCGGACGAGAAGAGCTCCGCCCGGCTGCTTGTGCCGGATTTTTTCTTCGGGAAATCCGGCGTTTGGAAGCCGCCCTCCGCAGGGCCTGTCCTTGTCCGTCTGGTGGGGGGGTTTCCCAGAAAGGCCTCCGCTGCTCTTGCCCAGGGCATTCTCCGCGCCGCTGGGCCTCCTGCTTCGGGATGACGGCGATCGAGAACCGAGGAGTGCCTGCGGGCGGCGGCGGTCTTGGGTTTCGAACCAGCTGCGGCGTTCCTCCAGCCCACCCCCCCTCCAGGCGTTCCCTTCGATTGCAGCCGACCCCCTCGGGCAACCTTCCGCGGGAAAGGGGGGGTCTTCCAGCGCAGCCCCTCTGCCAGCCAGATCGCAAGCGGGGATGCCGCAGCTTCTCCCCCCTGCCTCCCGCCGTCTAGCTCTGACTGGCCAAAGGCCCATCCCGGCCAGCCTCCCGGGCAAATGTCCCCCATCCCGAAGCGCCGCGGGGTCCCTAGCGGTTCAGTCACGGAGGGGGACACGTGGGGCAGACCTGTAGCCCTTTCTGGCTTGCCTTCGCGGAGTAGGACCGCACGTTCCGGGGTAGAAGCTGCCTGACTCCCGGCTTGGGCCGACCCAGGTTGGCGAGCGTCTAGTCCACGACCCCTCTCTCCTGGGGAGTCCGTAGGAAGCCGCCAGCAATTTGGGTCGTCGATCCCTGCCTCCTCCGTCCCTCGGCGGGAACAGGGCTGTTCTCTTTCACCCGCGGAGCAGATGGCAGAGCCGGCTCCTGGAGGCTAATTGAATTGTTCTGAGCGAAGGGGCGGCGGGGAGGAGAGGGAGAAGAGCCCCGCCCGCTCAACTTCTGTCGGGGCCTCGGCTCGGCTCCATTTTTCTTCAGTATGGAGCCCCCCTTCCCCCCTCCCCCCCCGTCGTTTGGTGTCCTGCTTTCTGCCTGCAAACCCCCAGCTCGGAACCAAGCCAACTCTGAGATCGCGAAGACTCCCAAGATCTTGAGGGCCTTGAGCCCCTCCAGCTGAGGAGGATCCAGACCTTTCCTCTACCCGACCCGAGGGAAGAGTCGGGCCCCGATCCCCTGGCCACTCACCCACGGCGTTGTTCTGGCCTCCGCCGTGGTTGAGGGGCTCTTCGACTTTTGCAGCGTCTCACTTCAACTTGTTTTTCGACTCCTCCCGTCGGCACACAAATGCTGGAAGCAGGTTTGGCATCAAATATGTCCCTTTATTCCAAATATGTACAAGCACACGCGACCGAGATATGAGAGGGGCAGCGGCGGAGGGGCAGACGGCCGGGTTGCCATCAGTTCCCGGAGGGGACTCCCGGCGGACTCGGTAGGCCGGGTTGCAGGCCCAGCGACGCCGGCCTCGGGTCTCTCAAGAGCCGGCTCTTTCGCCCCACCGCGGCTCCGAGAGGGCGCGAACGGCTACTGTAGCTCGCCCCGCCGTCTGCTCCATGTCACCGGCTCTCCTGCTCCGCAGGTGCTCCGGTGACGCCTCACCCAAGGAAGGACACGAACTCACAGAGAGAGAAAACAGCCGAGGCCGCAGGGACAATGGGGCGCTGGAAAAATAATAACAACAACAACAATAAAATTAAACTTTTAAAAATTGCACCGAAACTTCCCCTCCATTGAAAAAAGGGGGCGGGGAGAAGAGCGGGAGAGAAGGACGAGGGGAGGGGGCCTGGCGATCGTCCATCACAGGCGGAATTGCGGATCAGGAACGGGGGGGGGCGCTTAAGGTGCGGTGCGTGGCGGGGGAGGGAGCGGGGCTGCGGGAATCCTGGAGAGGGGGATGCTGTCCGGGGTAGGCAGGGCGACAGGAACGGCCCCACAGCCTAGTCTTGGACCCTCCTCAAGCGGCCTTGCAATCCAGAGGCAGGAAGGCGGAAGGCGGCAGCTGGAAAGGAGACTTCTCCCTTCCGGGTCGCCCCCTCCCCGGCCCTCAGTCTCCCACGTCGATCTCCTCCTCCTCCTCCTCCTCGTCCTCGCCGTCGGAGAAAGCGTCCGAGGTGTGTCGTGAGGCGCTGGGTGAGGGCGGGGGCGACGTGCGGCGGAGATGGCCCCCGCGGGCTCGCGCAGGTCCAGAGACGCCCGGGGTCTCCAGCTCGGGCATGCTGGCCAGCTTCTCCAGGGCGGCGGGGTGCAACTTCTTGAGCGACTCCACGTCGGCCTTCATCTCCTCCAGGTCTCGCTTCAGTTTGGCGCGGCGGTTCTGGAACCAGGTGATCACCTGCGCGTTGCTCAGGCCCAGCTGCGCCGCGATGTGGTCTCGGTCGGCGGGAGAGAGATACTTCTGGTAGAGGAAGCGCTTCTCCAGCTCGTAGATCTGGTGGTTGGTGAAGGCCGTGCGCGACTTGCGCCGCTTTTTGGACGGAGGGCGCGGCCCGAAGGCGCCCAGCGGGTCCCGGCCTGCAGGAAAGGCAAGAAGGAGCCGTGGTTGCGTCAGGCTACTTGGCCCGCTGGCTGGCCCACCTTCTGACCCGGGGCACGGTCTGCTCGCGCTCTCGGCCGGGCCAGGGCCTTGGCAAGCGGAGCGGGGGCTCAGAAGGGCACTGGAGAGCCTAGGGTCTAGACCAACTGCCCCCCCTCCTCCTCCTCAACCCCCGGGCCCTTGTGGGCATCGCCTCCTGCTGCTGCGTATGTAACCCTCGAATGCCCCTCCGGAACCCGCTCCCGTCTGCCCCGCAGCCCACCGGGAGCTACAATTCTTTCCTGTTTCCAAACGAGACCCTCCTTCGGGAGCGCAGGAAAGGACCCCGGGGCGCATTTCTTCCGAGATCGCGGAGCCGGAGCGGCCCGGGTGAGAACGGTTGAGGCCAGCGAAGGAAGGAAGGATAATCCCCACCCGTCGCCTTTGGACTGGGGACGGAGGAGCTCTCGGGCGCCCCGGGTCGCATGTTTGAATTACTGGCAGGGACTCGGGTGAAAACCCGGGCAGGCACCGGTGTTCCCTTCGGAAGCGGACCCGGTGAGAATCCCTTGAATCTGCCCACTGATCTCTCTCGCCTTTCAGGCGGAAGGGATCACAGCCGTCCCAGGCCTGCCAGCTTGGCAGGCTCCCCCCTCCCCCTCCCCCCTCCCCCTCCCCCTCTCCCCCTCCCCCCCCGACGCTACCGGGCAAATGTTTTTATCGCCGGCCACTGGGAACCCGACCCTCCAGCGGGAGGGGCAGAAAATGGGGTCTTGACCGGGAGTGCGGGGTTAGGGGTCCGCAGGGGTTAAACCTGTCCTGACGTGTTAAGGGCGCCTAGAGAAATTGACTCTAGAATAGGAGAAAACGCTCTCCAGAATCTCAAAGCAGGATCCAGACCGACCTGCAGCGATTTCCTTGTTTTGCGAATGCCGCACTTGCTCCGAGTATATAAAGAAGGACTCGGAGCGCTGACCTCTCCCGCCGAATTTTCCTCAACCTCCTGACTGACCCGGGTCTGAAATGCTGGATTCTCTGCTAAGCTAAGAGAAGCTGTTTTTATTCATTCTAGTTTCTAGCCGTTTCTAGGTAGCATCAATGCGAAAACACAGCCCGAGACTACGTTTCAGTAGAATTAATGAAAAACAAAGATCTTTACAATATGCTTGAATTTAAAGCAATGGCTGATTTGATTGAATGAAGAAAAGAAGCGCAAACCAGCCGACTTTGCCTGCCCTTTTTTAAAGCCCCCAAAAATTGAGCGCAGGAATTAATTTGGGAGGCATTTTTCCATTTGTACTTTTGAAAAAAAAATAGCCAAAAGGCTAAATAATTATAAAACCAGAGCAGGGAAGAAAAAGGGTGAAAAATATCCCTTCGTTTAGTACGGAATTAAGGGTTTCTTGAAATGGCTGCAAAGTTCCGGTACAAAAAGGGGAAACAATTTAAGATAAATAAGTAAGTGAATATAATTTAATGATTTATTATAAATTCTTAGGATTAGATGTATTTGTGTATTATGTTTTAATATAGAATAAAATAAGACCATAATAAAAATTTGTAGAGTTAACTGCATTGGTGCAAAACCATGTGGTAAAAATATCTATAATAGTAGTATAATGAGTTTGTAATATCTCATTATTATGGTTATCATTTTTATAGTTAAAGTTATGGCTGAAGTAAACTCTCATCTAGCTGGTGGTGATTGTCTCTGCAATTTCCTCCTTATTTTGGGAAGATGATTTTGCAGGGAGCAATCGCCCTCAATCTGACTGCCCGAACGAGTGTGGGAATACCACCCGCAGCTGCTACTGTTAATTATTTCGTTTTATTAACTTTAATTGTACGTCGGCCATTTCTGAAAGTTCTGAAATATTATTTATTATTAAATTAAAATACGAAATATTATTTATTATTGAAATAATTCCGAGGATGATTTTAAATGAAATCAACATCATTTTTTTTATTAGTCATAAACCAGCATAGATGATTTAAATAAAACAATTTTAAAATTGCGATTCAGATGGGAAATTGTTTTGGGAGAGAAAAAGATTATAAACAGCGAATGCGGATTCTGGTAAAAGTTTCCCACGGAGCAGGAAGGACCGGTTGATCCCGGCCGGATTGGAGCTGGGCGTGGATCGCTACCCATAAGCCTCCAAGCAGAAGCCGGGCAGGATCCAGGCAGGGCGGCTGTGGGGACAAAGGGGCGCCCGGCGACGCCGGGCGGAGGGTCGGGAAGCGGGTGGCCGTGGGGAGCAAGGGAGGCCAGCCTCAATAGGGAGCGGAGGAGTTGCATTCCGGCTCGGCCGCTTGGATTCCCGGATATTCCCGCTGAAACCGGACCGGCCTTAAGGCGACTCGGCCTGTTTCTGGTCGCCCAGCGGGAGCGGAGGAAACCGCCCGGTAGGACGCTCCGGAGACAATGGCCACAGCGCTCTCCGGCCCGCCCGTTCGCGGAGCTCCGCTGGGGAGTCTCGAGCGGAATGCCGTCGTGGCTCAGGCAGGACTTGGAGGGTTCACCCGAGCGAGCAAGTCCGAAGACCGGCAGGAGGAAATCCGCGGGCCACTGACTGGCCTTAGAGCGGGAGCGAAGGCGCCACCCGCGGCTGTTTGTGTGGATCGGGGCGGGGGGGGGAATTCCGCGGCCACAAATCACTAGTGGGGCGATGGGCGAGCACCCGACGCTTCTTCTCCACACCGAGGGCTACCGCGATGGGGTCTTCCGGAACGCTGTAAGGTGGAAGCAGCCCTGCTTCCTTCAGGCCCACCGGCTTCTTTGCAGCGAGCGACCCCCGGGTTCCCGCAGAGCGAGCAGGGAGCGGGGCTAGCGGCCTGACCCACTGCAGCTCTGCCCGCCCCCCTTCCCGTGGTCAACCGGCCCTTACCTTCGGCCGCCTGAAGCACGTTGAGCTCCAGCCCCTGGAACGTCTTGCTAGCCAGCTCCTCCAGGGCGCAGAGCGGAGAGTCGGGGGCGGGCACGCCGTTCCGCGGGGGTCCAGCCGAGCCTGCAACCTTTTCCAGCAGGCGGGCGGCAGGAGCTTTGTGCCCGGAAGGTTTGCTGAGAATGTCTTCGATGCTGAAGGGGGTGAGAGGTTTGCTGGAATTGGCGGGGGGCGGGAGGAGGTCCAGGGGGCTCCGGCGCCTCTCTTCTGCTGCGCCCGGCTGTGGCAGCGCGGGAACTGCCTTCCCTTCCTTCGCCGATGTCATTGCCGGGGGAGGGAGGGAGGGAAGGGGGAGGACAGGCCCCGGCTTGTCCCAAGAGCCGGACCGGGCCGGGCGAGGATTCAGCACCCCCTGCGCGTCATTGCGGGGCCGCCCTCGGGCCTCAAGAAACCCGTACGCTAGCCCTGGATGGTGCTGATCGGCCCTCGACCCCGGCCTAGGCGTTCGGAGTGGCACAATGCCCCCCGCCCATCCCCCTTCTGGGCCGCGTCTGTTGTGGCGCGGGGGGGGGGAGCGCCCGTCGAGTCTCCTGCGCCTCTCGCGGTTGGGAAGCCCGTACAGTCGCAACCAAGCCCGCTCGGGCGCTCCAGCCTTAAAGGCGCACAGGCTGGGCCATCGGCTGGGCAGGGTAGGAGGAGCCAGCGGCGAAGTGTTAGCAAAGTTCCTGAGCCTGAGGGGGGAGGCGTGGGGGAACGGGGGCGGGAAGGGGATCCCCGCTTCTCAGATCGACTGGGCGAAGGGACCACCGCCTCGTCGCTTTTCCGGAGCTTGCAGGCCGTCCCGGAGTAGCCTCTGCTCAGCTCCGGCGCCCCGGGCCTGGCGGTCCCAAGCTACACTGGGATGCGTCTCCAGGGAGGAAGACCCCTTCGGCCGTCCAGGTAGCGCTTCCCATGCGGACTCTGCTTATCCGGGCAGTCCCGCGAGAGCCCACGGATCGGGCAGCTCCTCCCTCCCTCCCTCCCTCCCTCCCTCCGGTCCAGGGAACGGGCTACCTTCTCCGAGTCTCTCAACCACCGCAGTTCCCCCGGCGAGGCCAGCGCCGAGTTCCAGGAAGAAGCCCCTGAGCCTCGGCAGCTGGCGTCCCCGCCCGATCCGCGTCTTTAGCTCTGCTGGGGAAGCAGAGGCCATTCCTCGTGTCCTTAGCCTGCAGCGGAGAAGCCCCCTTTCCCCCCCTTTCTTTGCCGGAGGGATCGGGAGGGGCCGCCGTGGTCCTGGAGCCCCGTGTTACAGCCCGCCGGCCCTGCCTATCGCCCGGCCTCACAAAGGAGTCGCTTAGCGTCGGAGGGGTCCGTTTGGTTCCCAACACTTCCCTTGGTCTCGGTGCCGGAGTGAAGCAGAGGGAAGCGCCGCTCTGGCTCCAGACTCCCCGGGCAGCGCCCAGGACTCCGCCTGTTGCCCCGGGGCCAGTTCTTGCCTCCCCCTCCCCGCTTCTTTAACGCTTGCTATTTTTAGCCGCGCTGCGATTTCTTCTCCTGAGGCCGTTTCAGAGGGTCTCGTTGCCGACCCCGCGTCACCGCTCCTTCCCTCGCAGGCCCGTCGATTCGCCTCTCCACCGGAACCTCAGCTCTTGTGCTGGCGGACGCCGGGCGCGCCGAGGAGAGGAGCCAGGCCGCACATCTGTCTGCGCCCTGCTGGTATTTTTCGCCCAGCCTGGGGCGCCTTTCCGCCTTCCTCCGTTCGAGGACCTCGCGCCTTCCCTTCCTTGCCGCCTTTCGGAAGAACCGCTCTTGCGCTGCTTTAGGGCGTCGCCAAGGACTCGGCCAGCGCCGCCGGGGCTCCGGTTCGCGTGGATGAGGGCCTCCTTGCCTGGGTCGCCTCGCCGCCTGTGGCCCAGCTGGGCGCTCAGCCCTGCCCCCTCCCGCCGCTGCTAATGCAAGGCAGACGTGCAATCTCCCAGTAACAGGGAGTCGTAAAAAGCGAGACCCCCCCCTTCGCCATAAAGAGCTTTTCAAAGTCCCCCGCGGCCGCCTGCCTGAAGGAGGCTGAGCTGAGGGCCGGCTGGGCGGCTCCGGAGCTCTTCGGCGGTGAGGCCAGGCGTGCCTCCCCGAGGAAGGGGCCTCTCGGGGTGCCCCCATCCCACCGGAGGCGGCACCCCGGTGTTCCTCCCCTCCCCTCCAGTCTCTTGCTTGCCTGCAGTTTTATGGGCTCCCTCGCTCTAAATGGCCCATAAAAGCGCCGCGTCTGGGAGTGATTAAGACCCGCAGCCCAGGATTCTTGGGCAGGTTTTGGATTTCACCGTCCCGGCAGGCCGTAAAAGCCTCAGACAAATAGCTCTATGATCCCGCAAGCTTGTAAACCTCTTTCCTTGCCGGTGCCCTCCCCGGCCAGCTGCGGAGAGGCCGCTTTTTCCGGCAGCAGGGAAGGCAGGGCCCTGGCAGGCTGGAGAACCGCCGGGCAGCCGGCAGCAGGCGGAACATTTTATGCAAGCCCGCAGGCCCCTAGCCAGGCCCTCTCCAGACCAGGCGCGCCCTCCCTCCCTCCCTCCCTGTCTTTCGGGCAAATAAAGCTTGGGCCGCTAGCTCGGGGCGGGAGAGGCGACCCTTCCTAGGGAGAAGCAAGAAACGCAGGCGCCCTTTCCCCATAGCCCCCCCCGCCTGGAAGCTGCGTTGTCTTGTTCCCTGTAGCCCGCCCTGAGCTGCTGGCGCCACACCAGAACAGGGCAAGACCGGCTGGGGCAATGGTCACCGGCCAGCCGCATTTTTCCGGTTCCCCCCCCCCAACTCCGTAGCTGCTATTTGTAAGGGCGCAGTTTGAGAGTCCACCAGACCCCCCTGCTTCCCTCTTCTGGAAAAGGCTTTGCGCCCTGGGAACCAGAAAGGCTGGGGACGGCGAGAGGGGCGGGGCCCCTCTTGGGGAGTCTTCCACAAAGACCGAAAACTCCGCAGCTGCTCTCACGGCTGCCGGGACTGGAAGGGAAGAGTGGAAAACGCACGTGCTGGTTGTACGTTGTCTTCTCCGATTTCCAGTGCCCGAGAAATCCTAGTCAGGCGTCGGCTTCGGGTTTCGTCCGGGTTTTCCCCTCTAGCATTTGCAGGCCACACCGAGGCTTCCCGGGTTGCGGCCTAACGTCTGCACGCGAGGGGACTGGGCGCCAGCCTCCTGCTCTGCTCTCTGTCCCACAAGCGCAGCCGGCGCTCTGCTCCAAAGTGCGGAGACCGGGAGAGGTCCCGAACGCCGAGGCGCTCGCTCTGGGCCCGGGCAGAAAGAGCAAGAGGACTGCGGCGGCCTCGGTCCCCTTAAACCGCTGCGCTCCAGCCCAAATGCGGCGCACCGACGTTCAGGACAGCAGCTTTCCCCGACGCCCAGCCACGGCAGCGTTCCCGTCTCAAGGTCCCCCTGCACGATTCGCCGCTCCGCTCGCCTCGCCTCGCCTCGCCTCGCCTCGCCTCGCCTCGCCTCGCCTCCCTCCCTCCCTCCCTCCCTTTGCTTCGCCCTGAGCCTTTCGGGGGTGTGGGGGGGGGAGATTAGTAAACGAGCCTCTCCTCGAAGGCAGCAGCTCCGGAGCTGCCAAGGAACGTGCGAATGGCCAGGGCGCTTTCCTCGTGAGGCCTGCCGGCGCCAGCCGCGGGAAAAGCTTTTTCCAGCGACCTCGACCCGCCAGGCAGCGAAGAAACGCGGAAGGGGCTCCATCTCAGCGCCGCCCAGGAAGATTCCCGCCTGGGGACGACGCTGACACGGCGACTCCTCCGCGCGTTTCGGCCAAAGATCATCCGGACACACTCAGACGACCAGGCCTGGACCGGGGATCTAGCGCGATACAGGCTTTGCCTCTAGCCTCGGTTGCGAGTAGGGATTTCTCGCCCCCCCCCCAAGATGTTTGTTCCAGGCCGGCGGTGGAAAGGTTAAACGCAGCTGTCACTTTGCCTGGTCTCGTTCGCCTCTCCAGGCCGGAGCCTTTAATCCCCGCGCGCAGTGAAAATGGGCCGTTTTCACGAGTGATTAGAAACGGGCGGAGGCCGCTGCCACACTGGGGATGGGGGGGGAGTGCCGCACAGATGACAAAGCCCGCCGCCACCGCCCAGCTTCACCTGCTGTGGGGCGGGAATGGCGGAAATGGGGGATTTTTGGTCTGCTGTGCCCGAGGTGGTCCCGCGAGACGCCTTGATCGAAGGGGGGAGAACCGCTCAGTGGGCTTGGAGGTCCTTGGGCATCCAACGGTTTTGCCCGATCTCTAACAAAGCACCAGAGTGGGAGGCAAAGGAGAGAGACCCTCCCCCACCCTCCCCCTCGCGACTTATCTTCGGGCGGGGAAATGGCGGCGGGAAGAGCCGGGACCAGCGGTTCGGCTGTGGTTGAAGAGGCAGTCCCCCCACCTCACGCCCGTTTGTCAGCTTAGGCCAGGTCGGGGCCTCGAAATGCCACAAATGTTTCTGCCCCTGAAGCGCGGCCCATCCCGAACTGCCCTGCCGATCGCACCGATCCTCTTTCTTGCCAGGCGCCATCTTCGGCAAAGCTCCAGCACTGCCCCGCAGCCCAGGGCCGTCGGGTGAGGTGTGGGGCGGTTGGCCAGTCCCTCCCCACACTTGCGCTTATTCCAGCTTGGTGGGGCAAAGGGGGGCCGGGACCGCAGCCAAACCTCGGCGGGCGCGGGCATTGGACCCGGCCGAGGTGACGCCCCAGGCGGCCTGGAGGAGGCCAGCCAGGCAGGAGACCAGGGCCAGAGGCGCAAAGCTGTTCTGCCCACTCTCGGCCTGGCTACCCCTTGCAGGCAGCCCACGCGAGACCTGCGGAAGAAGGCGCTCGCGCGCGCTTTGGGAAAGAGGGTCTCCGGAGAATTGTGCGGCGCGGCCGGTTCTCCGCTGCCTACCGTGATCCCGCAGTTTCAGAGCAGCGCTGAGGGGAGGGGGTTGAATGCTTGGCGCCCGGTGCCCAGGCTGCCCCCGGTGCCCCGCTGCCAGTTTCAAGGGCGGGGTTCCCCCATGCGCAAGGAAGAAAAGTATCCTTTTCGTGTTCTGTCTCAGAGTCACACCGCATGTTTCTATAGGATCAGCAGTTTCCAATGTAATCCGTTTATGAGCCCTTGAAAGGAGGGCCTGGATCCGGCCGTTTGTTTGTAGGGCCTCAGCAACCTCCGTCGCTTCTATAAGGCGGAAGTGGCTGCCACGGTTTGCCCGGACTCCCCAGCGCAACGAGGCTTTGCCGCCCCGTTCTGGAATAAAGGTGAGCCCTCCCTCCCCCCCCTCCGGGACTCCTCCTCCTCCTCCTCCTCCTGTGGCGGGCCATCCATTACCTCGCTAATTTTTTTGGTAATGGATGTTAGAATA